TTTCACCATGTTGACCAGGATGGTCTCGATCTCTTGACCTCGTGATCCACCCGCCTCGGCCTCCCAAAGTGCTGGGATTACAGGCTTGAGCCACCGCGCCCGGCTATTTTGCCTCTTAAATATCTCTCTAATCACTTATTTCTCTCCACCTCCACCATACCACCCTAGTCCAAGCTGCCACCGTCTCTTGCTTAGGCTCTAGCAGGAGCCTCCTAACCAATCCCCATGGGCACTCTGGCCTTCTGCAGGCTTCTCTCTGTATTTACAGTAATCTTTCCAAATTTCAAACCCAATCATGTCCTACCACCCACTCCTTCCATTCTTGTTTAAAGTCTTTTAGGCGGGGTGTGGTGGCTCATGCCTATAATCCCAGCACTTTGGGAGGCCAAGGCTAGCAGATCACCTGAGGTCAGGAGTTTCAGACCAGCCTGGCCAACATGGTGAAACCCCGTCTCTACTAAAAATACAAAAATTCAAAAATTAGCCGGGCATGGTAGTGGGCACCTGTAATCCGAGCTACTAGGGAGGCTGAGGCAGGAGAATCCCTTGAACTGGGGAGGCAGAGGTTGGAGTGAGCTGAGGTCATGCCACTGTACTCCAGCCTGGGCGACAGGGCAAGACTCAATCTCAAAAACAAACAAAAAAACTTTTAATGTGGTGGCTTAATCGTGGCCCCAAATTCCTTTGCAATGTGACTTTGCTGCTTCTCACATCAGAACTGGGGTCTCCTTCTCTGTCCCTTGAATCTGGGCTGACCTTGTAAATAGCTTTGAACAACAGATGTGGCAGAAGTGATGTGTGAGTTCTGGAACCTAGTCCTTCAGAGGCCTTGTAGCTTCTGCCCTTGTCCCCTTGGAACACTGCCCTGAGACCACCATGTAAGGATGAGGCTACATGGAGGAGTGCCAGCCATACCTGCTGGTAAGGCCATTATGTATCTTCCTGCTCAGCTGTCCTGCTGTTTGAGTGCTGGGAATCGTTTGAGTGCAGCCATGTGAGTGAGCCTAGGTGAAAATGGCAAAGGAACTCCCAGCCAGCCCACAGAATCGTGAAAAAGACCAGTTTTAAAAAGTTATTTCTGCTGAGTGTGGTGGCTCACACCTGTAAAACTAGCACTTTGGGAGGCCAAGGTGCTTGAGATCAGCCTGGGCATCATGGTAAGAACCTATTGCTACAAAAAAAAAAAAAACAAAACAAGCCAGACACAGTGGCGCACATTGTCCCAGCTACTCAGTAGGCTGAGGTGGGTGGATCACTTGAGCCTTAGGACATCGAAGCTGCGCTGAGCAGTGATCGCATCAGTGCACTTCAGCCTGGGTGACAGAGTGAGACCCCATCTCTTAAAAATAAAAAACAGCTAAAACCAGGTTCTTGTTACATGAAAAAACAAAAAGAGGAAAAGGGAAAAAAAAAGAAAATAAATAAAAAGTTATCTCAGGCCACTAACTTTGGTGGTGATTTGTTGTGTATCAATAGATAACTGATATAGAGGGATTCCTACCGTTTTTTCCTAGTATGATAAATATAATATTTTTTGAGACAGGGTCTTGCTCTGATGCTCAGGCTGGAGTGTAGTGGCATGATCTTGCTCACCGCAGCCTCAGTCTCCCAGACTCAAGCCATCTGCCCACCTCAGCCTTCAAGTAGCTGGGACTACAGGTGTGAGCCACCATGCCCGACCAATTCTTGTATTTTTGTAGAGATGTGGTCTCCCCATGTTGCCCAGGCTGGTCTTGAACCCCTGGGCTCATGTGATCCACCTGCTTCGGCCTCCCAAAGTGCTGGGATTACAGGCATGAGCCACTGCACCCGGCCTAGATAAATATAACATTGTAAGGTACCCTGTAAGCCCCTGTATGTTCTGAACTTACCCATGTCTGTCTGTCTTTCTTCCTCCCCCTTTCTTTTCTTTCTTTCTCTTTTTCTCCTTCCTTCCTCCCTCCCTTCCCTTTCCTTCCTTTCTTTTTTTTGAGACAGTCTTTCTCTGTTGCCCAGGCTGGAATGCAGTGGCACAATCTTGGCTCACTGCAACCTCCACCTCCCGGGCTCAAGTGATTCTCCTGCCTCAGCCTCCTGAGTAGCTAGGACTACAGGTGGGCATCACCACGCCCAGCTAATTTTTTTTTTTTTTTTTTATTTTTATTAGAGACGGGTTTTCGCCATGTTGGCCAGGCTGGTCTCAAACTCCTGACCTCAAGTCATCCACCCACCTCGGCCTCCCAAAGTGCTGGCATTACAAGTGTGAGTCACTGGGGCCGGCCATTACCCATGTCTCACTTTCTGTTTCATTCCTCTCTAGACACTCTGGCTTTGGGGACTTTTGGCTTGTATGTTCCTTTCTGCCACAGGCCTTCCTATGCTCTTAACCCTCTTGCTTAACCCCTGTTAACATCTATTCATCCCTCAGCACTCAGTGCAGCCTCACCATGTCAGATAACCACTGTAGACTCGGTAACACCATGTGCTTTCCTCTGGACTTTGGACAACTGAAGTTTGTATTTATTTGGCGGTTCTGTGATTGTCTCTCCCCTCAGCAAGATGTATGAAGGTTGTTGAGAGTTTGGTTTTGTTCACCCTTATAACCCTGGGCCACACCATAATAGGACTGAATAAACAAATACTTGCTAAATTAATGAATGATGTGAGCGATAAATATGGCAAATGTCTACATACAAAGGAGGTGTGACACTAAAGGAAGGTTTTGTTGTTGTTGTTGTTGTTAAATCAAGGGGTTTCCAAACTGCCTCTGAAGGTAATTCTAGGAGTAGTGTTTTTCAGCAAAGGAGCAGGCTTCATTAAAATACCTGCATAGCCCTCTAAGATAACTATTTAAGGGGAATACTATTTGGGATTGATTAATTCTTGTATGTTTGTTACAGAATAACTAATCATAGTTTAGTCATACATTTTACTTCCTTGTTTCCTCCACAGTCTTGCAAAATGAGTGGGAGATGATGGGGGTGGATGTAAGTATTAATTGGTTGATGCGGTTGGCTGCTAATCCAGTAAATGGCATTCTGCTGACTTTTTTCTTTTGGAAATTGGTTTTACTCTGCTCGCCCAGTTTTTGGATCAAGGCAGGATGAGGATGGGTAGAAGGGAGATGGGGAGGTTCTATTTATGGAAGGCAGAGCTCATCTTCCTCTGTCTTGTGACCTTTAAGGTTGTAACTTTCCACCCAGTTCTGTCCCAATGAAATGATAACATCTTTTCTTCTCTCTATTCCCTCAACCTCAGACCATTCTTCACTTTACCTGTCCACCAAATCATAAAGCCTCAACCTCAGAATAGCATTTCCCACTCAGCCACAAGTTCCTTGGCATACGTGTGGGTATCAGTGAGAGAGAAATGAGAGGTACAAGAAAGAAGTATGGCTAATATCACTTTAAATACAAACAAACAAAACAAGGGCAGATAGCTAGGTCTTTCATAGAAAGAGAAGGAACAAAATTATGAAACCAGATTTCTGGGTTCTAAGGAATGTGGTAAACTGAACGAAGAAAACTGAGGCCCAGGGTATCTGGTGCCTTGGTCCTTGATGAGAAAAGTGACTAGGAGCCTGATGCCTGGGTCACCAAGGTGAATGGGCAATGGAGACAAAGTTAGTGCTAGGAACTTTCTAATGTTAGGGCGCCAGACGGCCAGACAGGTGAGACTGTGACCCTAGCCTTCCAACTCCCTGCAACTTCAGACACTGTGAGAATCAAGCTGAGGTTTATTTACAGTTCCCTGGGAAGTCTTACAGAGGAGGGGCCGTCATTATTGCTTTAGGGTTATTGCCAGGAGGAAGACTGCAGTTCTCCGCTGCCAGGTAGGAGGTCCTGCTCAAGGCTCAAAAGTCTGTACCCAGACCTTTTATGTCAGCCCCTTGTCTCTGCCCGTGACCAAAAGGCTGTCACTAATTCCTGCAAAAACAGCCAACTGTTTTCCAAGGGCCACCCTGGCCACTTCACCAGACTGCAGTGTAGATGTGCTATTAAATTTCTCTCTACCTTTGTCAGTGCTGTGTCACTGTAGCTCCCACCCTGACCACCCTCCTCCACCTCTGGGCTGGGAGGCAGGGTCCTAGTTTCCCAAAGATGATCATTTACATCCTGCCAGGACCAGCCTGGCTTCCTTTGTACTGAATACCCTAAGAGCCCCATTTCCTACGTCCCAGATGACATTACAACTCACTCACTAGGTTATTACCCTTTGATGACATTTCAAGGGCCCCTTTTGAGGTACTCTGCTTGTTTCTTGTATGTGCTGGGTTTTTGTTTTTGTTTTTTTTTCTGGGCCTCGGGAATAGGGGGAAGAGAGAAGGGGCGAGACCAAGTGGCAGAGAGCCGACGGCTAGTAGCTCATGCCGGAGATTTGCAAGAAGGCCTAGAAGGACACAGCGGGGGCGGGCGTACTACTTTCTCTCTGCGCCCCACTGCGGAAGGATATGGCTTTGTTCATGCGTATCACTACTCGAAGCCGGGACTCGTTGGTAGGCGGGGCTACCCTGGCTCCAGCCTCTGCATGGAGGGATCCAGAGCGGGAGAGGCGGCTACGGGAAGCAGGTCCTCGGCGGGTGCAGTGGCGCCGGGATGGGTACCTGCGCCCCTGACGGACTACTTCTTGGAATGCGGCTTGTTCCCCAGGAGCCCGTCTATTTCCATGACCGTCTGCGGGGTCAGCTGGCTCAGCACCTGGTGGAGGAGAATGGGGTGGTGGTGACGGCAGCCCATTCTGGGTCACTGAGGAAGAGCATGGGGTTGCAGGACCCGGGGAAGCACCACAGTGGGGTCAAGTGGCCAGGCAAGAATCGCAGCTGTGTCCGTGCCTCGCCTTGCGGCCCTGGGACCTCTCACCTGAAAAGTGAGGACTTTGCAGTGGGTGACCTTACAGGGCCATCCTGGGTTGGATGGCATCGCTTTGACTCCTGGGGAAGGGAATAGAGATAGGCTCTGCCTCTAAGTCTCCAACTCACCTGTAGAGCGCCCAGGTGTTCTATCAACTGTTCCGCACTCGACACCCCCAGCAAGACAGAGCTGACACCCTCACTGCGGAGACACCATGCTGGGGCCAGAGGAGGAAAAAAAGAGAACTGATGGGGAACAGTGACCACACAGATTTCAGAAGTGTCTTTGAAGACAAGGGTCCTCCCTAGGGACAAACCAATTTTAGGATGGGCTTGGGAGCATGTCAGGAGGAGACAGGACCCCTGCAGGTACAGTGTCTTACCAATGGCAAGCTGGGCCACAGTGCAGCCCAGCTGGTGAGCCATGGGGAGAAGGTCCATGACTTTGGCTTGTTGCTTCTTGCCGTCTTCACTCTGCACTTTGTCCTTGAGCCACTGGTAGCCCTGGAGGCCAAGGAGAATGAGCAGAAGACCCCACCATCCCCACCACCTCCACACTCACACAGCAGCCTGCCCCCCGTAACTCCCTGCAAAGCAGCCCACATAACCCAGTCCTGCCACCCAGAGCCCCCAGATCTCACCTTGATGTTGGCCCTGCAGGTATCTGGGACTCGCCCATCATACTTGCTAGTAATGAGACCACAGGCTAGAGGGTACCAGGTGACTGATCCAACTCCTAAGAGAAGAACACTGGGTGTCAGGAAAAGGCCCTAGCCATGGATGAAGCTAAGGTAAAGTCAGGGATGAGGGGCTGCAAACCAATCTTGTGGTAGAGCTCTGGCAGCTGCATCTCCACCTTCTCCCTCTGAAACAGATGGTGCTCAGCTTGTTCACAAACTGGAGGAATCAGATTGAACTGTCTGGCCATGGAGTAGGCCTCCTGGGTTGGAGTTGGGGAAAAGATAGGGGTCAGAGCATGACTTCCATTTTCTTCTCTGCCTCCTCCCCCAGGCAGTGGGCTCTGAAGTAACCATGTGAAAAGTGGGAACCAGTTGTGGGACAGGGGCAAAGTGGGGTCACACACTCACCATGATTTCTGCAGCCCCCCATCGGGATGTCCCCCAGTATAGGGCCAGGCCCTGGTTGATGACATAGGTCATGGCTCGCACAATCTCTAGGCACACAGGAGAGGGAACGCCTTACTGTCAGACCCCTGGAATCTAACACTCCAGATTTGCAGACCGCCACCTGCCCCACCAAGACCCAGGCATCTCTGTGGAGTCATAAAAGTTAATATCTATTCTTTGCCTCCCTTCCTGTCCACATCCTGGAGTCTCAGGCTCCACTGTGGAGTTTGGGAGGCCTTCTGAGCAGGGGCTGGCTTTCTGCTGAGGGTTTGAGGAAGGGCTCAGTTTTTGTTTTTTAGATTTTTTGAGACAGGCTCTCACTCTGTCACTCAGGATGTAGTGCAGTGGTGCAGTCATAGCTCACTGTGGCTTCAAATTCCTGGGCTCAGATGATCATCCTGCCTCAGCCTCCTGAATAGCTGGGAGTACAGGCACACACCACCACAGCCAGCCAATTTTTAAACATTTTTTGTAGAGACAGGGTCTTGCTATGTTGCCCAGGCTGTTCTAAAACTCCAGGCCCTAAGTGATCCCCCTGCCTTGGCCTCCCAAAGTCCTGGGATTACAGCCATGAGCCACTGCACCCAGCAAGGAAGTGCTGTTTTGAGGACTGCAAGGGTTGGGTGTGCTGCTTTTACCCTCCATAGGACAGTTGGGGTCTGAGCGATTGGCAAAGACAATGTCCACGTATCCCAGCTGGAGGCGTTCCAGGGATCCTCGCAAGCCTGGAGGTGGGGTGGGGAGAGGAAGAGGAAGATAAGCACTTCAGCTTCAGTGTACTAAGAATTCAGACTGCTGGGCATGGTGGCTCATGCCTGTAATCGCAGCACTTTGAGGCCAAGGTGGGCAGATCACCCGAGTTCAGGAGTTCAAGACCAGCCTGGCCAACATGGTAAAATACCATTTCTAATAAAAATACAAAAAATTAGCCAGGCATGGTGATGCACGCCTGTGATCCCAGCTGCTCAGGAGGCTGAGGCAGCAGAATCTGCTTGAACCCAGGAGGCAGAGGTTGCAGTGAGCTGAGATCACACCATTGCACCCCAGCTTGGGCAACAAAAGCGGAACTCCATCTCAAAAAAATTCAGACCTTGCCCCCTTGCCATGGCCACCTAAATCCCTATTCAAAGCCTCCAGAAGTTCAGGGAATGGTCCCTACTCCTCTGGCTTCCATATCTCCTCACTTTGGGTTCCCAGCCCCTAAGTCTCACCCTCAATGATGTGCTTGCGGCTCAAACCTCGCTCGGTTTCTGCCCTGTAGGAAAAGGTTAAGTCAAAGATGAGATGTGACAAAGACAGGGACCAGGCTGGCTTGGAGCCATAAGGAAATGGGAATCCGTGAGTCTTCACGGGCAGGGTGTGGACCTGGTGTAGCAGGTGCAGGATAGCTGTCCCCACCCCCACCCCATACACCTTTGCACATTCTCCCCAGTTGCAGTGGGGCAGCCACTTACTGTCCTCCCCAAAAAATCTTGGTGGTGATGACATAGCTTGATCTCCTGGAAGAAGAGAAATGGGAGAACCAGCAAGAAAAGGATTTTGGGGTGATCATGTCCCCAACAACCCCCAAAACAGTCTCACCTCCAACCTTTGCTCTTCAGGATGTTGCCTAGGGTCCTTTCAGCCCTAAAAGAAAGACAAGGCAGACTCACTGACCCCTCCCAGGCCGATCAATTCCTTCCTCTCCTCCCCACCTTTTCCTCTTTTGCAAAGTAGAATATAAACCAAGGAGTCCATTTCAGCTCACAGGTCCATCCTGGACAAAATAAGAGGGGCTCCTGGAACTAGAGGTGTAATTGTATAGTCTTCGTCATATATTCAACAAATATCTGTTGTGCATTAACTATGTACCAAGTCCTGCTGTGGGGGCCAAAAAGATAGAATAGGATGAGGGGAGAGGGGTCAATTATGCTGGAACCAGGAAGGACACTGCCTTGTCTGGCTTCAACTATCTGGGTTGCCTTCCCCCTTCTTTGAGCCTCTGCAAAATTCCACTCATCCTCCAAAGCTCAGCTCAAATTCTGCCTCATCCATAACGTGTTCTCTGAGTGCCACAATCTATGATCCAGCCTTCTTGTCAGCTTCCATAGAACTGGCTACACAATGTAGTATAAAATTATGAGCTAACTTGTGGCAAGTCTTAAGTTGTCACGGTGGACTGTTACTGAAATGTTTTACCATGGTTTAATCTTTCCTATCAACCTTTTTTTGTTTGTTTAACCACTTAGACTGTGTGTACTTTTGGAGACATGTTGATTCTTCCCAGAAGCAGCACCTGCTCTGTGCTAGGCTCTGTGTGGGTACTTGCGGAAGAGCAAGACAAATTCCATGGAAGGAAGCCTCTGACTTCAGTAGCTAATACAGCTACGTAAACCATGAATTGTGTGTCGGAAGACAGTCCACAGTGCTTTGGGAGCTCATGGTGGGGGAGGGAAGTGACCTGGGCAAAGGATTCTTGAAGGAGTGTACACTTGGGTCAAGTCTGGAGGATGAGCAGAAGTGTTTGCTAGATGGGGAGGAAACAGGGTCAGGTCATCCTGGTTCTCTCTACTAGTGTGAGGCCACAAGTGTGTGCTATGGCATGATATGTTAGAAAATTCAGCTTTGTAATCCTCAAATAGTTACATATAACTAATGCCTCAGATACATTTGTTGGCTTTATTTAATAATAACTGCAAAGTATGCCTGTTGACTTCTAAGCCAGAGAGGGACCGATGTTGGGACTGTAACAACTACAATCCTTTAGAGGCCTTCCCCAAAGGGTTGGAACTTCACATTCTCAGAAGTCCCAGGGTTCTTTAGAGGGAAAATGAGGAGAGAAGCCCTGGCGTCCTCTCAGCCTTCCAAATGGAGCTTAGCTCTTTCACCCCAGTCCTTACTTTCCTGCTGCGTACACTTCAGCGGTGTCAAACAGGTTTACACCATGCTCATAGGCTACTGTCAGCACATCCTCCGCTGTCTAAAGGAGTGAGAGAAAGAGGTAAAGATCAACTACTGCTCCTCAGTTACCTCCCTCACTGCACTCTAACCCATCACATCTCAGCCCTGGATTCTCTATTCTCTCCCCTTCCCCCATCCTCCAGCCTCAGATCCATCATTCCCTGTGCTTGTTGTCCAAACCCCTATCCAGGTTCAGTTCCCCTTTTCAGGTTCCCTCACCCCCCACCACCCTGATTCTAACTCCCATCACTTATACCTCATCTGAGATCTGAGAACCAAATGTAACCCAGGTACCTGCAAGAGAGAAGCCAGGCACATGAGAACTGCAGGAGCAGACCATGAAAGAATGCCCCCCTTTCCTTAATTCCTATTCTAACTCACCCAGGCCAAGACAGGATACCCGAAGACCAGACTTCCCTAGGTTCCTGCAAGATACAGAAGCAGCGGGAAGGGGTTGAACCTCCATTATGGATCTAGATTATCGGCCCCCAGCTCCTCTTCTTCCAGACTGAGAAGACCTCAGGTGTCTCAGTCCAAAGAAACTAAACCTAGTGGGCCTATAGGATTGGGCAAGTGCTATCTCCAGAGCAGAGGCCCTAGGAATTTTGTCAAAAGGACAAGTCAACCAATAAGTGAGTGTTCCTCTGAAGCCACTGTCCAGTGTCTCCATTCTTTTTTTTTTTTTTTTTTGAGACGGAATCTCGCTCTGTCGCCCAGGCTGGAGTGTAGTGGCACGATCTCAGCTCACTATAGCCCTCGCCTCCTGGGTTCAAGCGATTCTCCTGCCTCAGCCTCCCGAGTAGCTTGGACTACAGGTGCGTGCCACCATGCCCAGCTAATTTTTGTATTTTTAGTAGAGATGGGGTTTCACCATATTGGCCATGTTGGTCTCAATCTCCTGACCTTGTGATCCACCTGTCTCAGCCCCCCAAAGTGCTGGGATTACAGGCATGATCCATCATGCCTGACCATGCCTCTTATCACATTGAAGATGTGTGTCTGATTTTTCTTTCTGGGGTCTTGTCTGTGTTTGAGTCATCTCTGGGATGTGTGCAGCGAGGGTCTGGGAGGAATGTGGTTGGTTGATTGTGGTAAGTTTGTGAGACCAGGCCCTCAGGCAGAGTGCTGTGCCAAATGGCAGACACCAGGTTGGAAGAGGTAAACCAAGTCAAGCTCAGGCATTCAGACAGGCAAGGGTCCCTGGCTAGGCGAGGCAGATGGGCCTGGAAGAAAGGCAGACTGGGGACCTGGGAGGAGGGGGAAGACCGGAAAGCCTGGTTCTCCCTCTCCACTCCCTCTGTTCCTGTTAGCTTGTGAAGACTGTCTCTGAACCAATGAGACCCTCCTCCTCCCAAAGCCCCCTCCTCTTCCCAAAGCCCCTAACTCAGATGTCAGCTCAGCTTGCCAATCAGGGCCACCATATAGAGGGGATCAGATTCCTCAGGTGACAAAGCAGGTCAGATCAGTGACCTCAGCTCACTCTAAGCAGGCCCCTCCTCTACCCCCCACTTCAAGTTCTGAGCCTCTGGCCTGACAGTCCCCTGAGATAAAGTCGGTTACATTTCAGTCTACCCAGATCCTGTCCCTCAGCATGGAGACGAAAAATGTGGTCCATCCTTCCCATGGGCCCCATTCTCCTTGCGCCCAAGAAAGGTCACAGGAGACCTAGCCCTTGGGGCAGGCGGGGGCAGTATCTGGGTCATGCACCCTGAGCCGGCAAGAGAGAGAAGCCAATTCCCTCCCTCCACTCCCCAGGACACAGACCCAAGGACATGCCATTGGAGAGGGGTGCAGCCTGGAGATCCGTGTAGCATGGAGATCTGTGCATCCCTGACCTTCCCAGGGGTAAGGAGGGAAGCTCAGGGGCATCCCCTGGGTCTGACAGGACCCTGTCAACCTTGGTAAACTTGATTCTCTCCTAGTCAGGGGTATCGACGGAGACCAGAAGAGGGAAAAAGTGAAGGAGTGCCAGAGACGGGAAGAGATGGAAAGAAGGGAGACCTACTTAGTGAAGTTTGAAGGGGTCTTGGCGGCCATCTCAAGAAGCCTCAGGGGTCCCGAAAGGAAAGCGGAAGGGGTGGGCTGCCCGGCCACCCCCATACCTGTATTTCATGCCAGTGCCTCGGCCGGTGCTCTCTCGGAGGGCCCCAGCGGGCGCTGGGGGTCTGGGAACCAGTGCAGCTCGGGCTTTGGGGCCAGACCCTCCACCCCCTGGAGGATTCCCATGCCCCCCGCCGGCCGGCCCGCCATTACCGCCCCCAGGGCCCGGCCGGGGTCCACACAGACGGTCCTCACTGCTCCGGCTGCGAAGGTTCTGCTCGGTACACGCGATAGACACCTGCATGCCGGCTGGCCGGGGCGGGGGAGGGGGCTCCGAGGGGACGGGAGGGGGGCAGCAGGGAAGCCCAAGCGCGGACTACCCGGGGCGTAGTTGGGCGAGCCCCGCCAGAGCGGGAAGGCTGAGGAGGCTGCAGCGGGAGCTGCCAGGCAGGATCGGGCCCGCGGGGGCGGGCTGCTGGAGGTCGCGAGGTTGGCGGCGGGAGGGGAAAAATGCGGGGTAGGGGGGCGCCAGGAGTGGAGATACTGTTACAGGGGACACAGGTGCAAGGAGTAGGAGGGGGAAATGGATGAGGGTAAAGGTCGAGGATGAGGTAGAGGTTTCGGAGGATAAGGACCCAAGGGGAAGAGAGAAGGGAGAGAGATGACACTTCAGCGCAAACCGCAGCGGGACCCGCTGGGCTCCCAGCAGCGTCGGCAGCGGGCCCAGCTCATCAGCATGCAGGCACCGCCTCCTCATCTGCATAGAGCCGCCCGCCTCCCCGCCAAAACTGCCGCTCATCTGCATAAGCCCCGCCTGCCGAAGGCTCCGCAGCTTGAATATTTTCTGAGCGGAATCCAGAAGGGTGGCTCCTGCACCCTCTGGGACACAAGGCCTGTCAGGCTTCCCCTGGCCCAGTGGTTCTCAATCGGGAGGGACTGTCTCCCAGGGGAATTTTGGCAAGGTTTGGAGACATTTTTTATTTCACACTTGGGGATGCAGAGGGACGTACTATCACCATCTAGTGAGTGGTGGCCAGGGATACTCCTAAAATCTTGCAAAGCACAGGTCAGCCACCACAGTAAAGAATTATCCAGCCCAAAGTATCAATATTGCCACGGCTGAGAAACCCATCCACAAAGCCACTTCCTAGCCTTCAACGGGGTGTGTCTGTCTTACTTTCCACCTTCATTCGTGGGGCAAGACTGAGAGGGCCCTCAAACCAACATGCTCAGGCCGCAGACAGTGACAAAAAGTTTATTCTGTGCTTCTCACAGCGTCAGGCAGGGGATAAAACTGGAGAGGGCCTGGTTTGAAGGTGGAGGAACTCTGGGGGCTTCATTCTGGTAGGAGGAGAGCATCGAGGCAGGCCTTTAGGCTGTTATTCTGGGTGGAGGGGATGGGGGCTTACAGTCGGGGGGATGGGGGCTTACAGTGGGAGCCCTCAGGTGGCACAGGTTCGGAAGGGCCCCAGGCAGATATTAATTCTGCTGAGACATGAGGTAGGTTGCTTCAGCCAGCCCGGGCGGAGAAGAAGGGCAGAGAGCGAACATAGGAGTCCAGTCGGGAGCGAAAGAGTTCACTTTGCACAGTTTGGCCCAGGGGGCACAGGGGATTCTTCACCACCAGCTCCACATACAGCTACGGAAAGGGAAGATGTCAGCGCCGGGCTTTGGATACTTCTCGTTTCCAACCCCAAACCTCAGAGGTGTGTGAATGCACAAGGAACAAGGGCTGGAAGGCAAGCCCTCTCTGAGAAGAAGCTGGTGGTGGGAGTTAAGAACCTAAAGTCCCCTGAGAAAACTCCGAATTCAACAAACATATAGTAGGATTAGGGTAGGGAAGATAAAGGAGAATCCTTGGGATTCTGATGAGCTCGGGGTTGGGGGGGGGGTCCCCGGGGCTGGCACTGACCGCACTGTAGATGTGATGCAGCACATCTCGGATGGGTCCCACGCCCAAGTCAGTATTCATGACAACTTTGATCCCAGTGGGCGTCTCGTAGTAATGGAGTTTGTAACGGCTAGTTTGAAAGGCCAAGAAGCCATCCTTCCTGCAGAGATGAGGAGGGTGTTAAGGAATGGGAGCAAAATCTCTCCCAAAGAGATACTTCTGATCCCCTCAAAGGTCGACTCCCTCTTCATCTAACCATATCTTTTGTAGAAGCCTGGTTGAGTAAAGACATCACCCATCCTCACCCCTCAATTTAGCACCCCCTAACCTCTCTACTTTCAGACCCTCCCCTGCCACTCCTGCCAGCTCCAGCATCTTGCTACGGACTCAGCCTCCCTAAGTACCCTTTCCCCCTCTGGAAGCCAATGCCCCTTCCACTTCAGAAAGTTTCCCCCATCCCCAAATTCCCAAGGCTAGCCCTCCTCCCAACATCTTTTCTGACTCGGCATACATGTCTAGCGGGGACATCTTGCTGACAAAGGAGCGGATAGAGAAGAGCATCCCGTACATCAGCTTGTACTCCTGGAGGGGGAAGGGCAGAGTTAGCTCTCGGTTGTTGCAGGAGACGGGGTCGGGGTGGGAACGAGCTGGGGTTTGGAGAAGAGGGGTTAGGTTGGGACTACAGGTGTTTGGAGCTGAGAAGTCACCTCCTCCTTGGGAATCCCTGCTTGCTTCTTGCGGTGCCATTCGCTGTAGTGCAGACACACTCCATTCCGGTCAAACAGGTACAGGTTGTGGACAGTCATCTGCAGGGCAGGGAGTGTGAGCCTCGCTCCGGGACTGTCCCCACTCCGTGGGCTCAGGTTTCCGGACCCACAGCCCTCCAACAAGGTGGGTACCCAACCCTCGGACTCACCGGAACTGCTCTGAGTGTCCGTCAGGAGTTACTTCCGGTTTCCGCCGCGCTCCGCCCCGCGGGGGGGGTCTCACCCAGCCCCTGCTGGGCATTAACTCCGCCCCAGTGCCACTCGTCAGACTCCGCCTCTCTCCTTCGGCCAATCTGTGGCCACCGGAGCCGCGCAGGCGCGGCCAGGCTCTCGGGGTACCGAAGTGTTATGAGCGTCTGCAAGCGTGGTCTCGCGGGCGGGTGACGTCATCGGGGCGAGAGAGGCGGGGCCGTGGACGGTGGGCGGGAGGCTGCCAACGGTTTTGAGCTTAGAGGGAGGCGCGAGACGGGGGATCCCAGGGGAGGAGGCCAATCGCTTGCTCCCCACTTTGGCAAATTGGGGGCTGAGAACTGGAAGTGTGGAGAGCAGTCGGGACCAGGTGGTCGTCGGGGCAGAGGATCTCAGGCTAGGTTTGAGGGCAGCGTGGTTTTTAAAGACGACTGAGGGCGTGACTCAGTGTTCACAAGATTTCTTTTGGGGTGATCGGGAGGGAGAGAGTCTAGGGAGCGAAGCTTGCTATGGCTTTCTTGCTAGGAGGGGTCGGAAGGAAAGTACAAGGGAGCTGACCCTGGGTAAAACGGGTGAAGGGGTAGGGGAGCCTGAGGTTCCTACCTCTCTTGAGATTGGAGCCAGCTGAGGGACAAATAGGGCAGCGGGACAGAAATTGGGCCCCTAGGGGATTTGGGTCCGTTTCCTTTGGGACGTTTTGGGTGTGAGAACTTAAGAGCTCAGTTGACCGGGGATAGCCTATGCCGGAGTTGATCTGCAGCTTCCAGCACTCGTAGTTGGGAAGAGGAGCTTCAGCAGTGCCGTTGTCCCGCAGTAGGTCGTCTGTCCGCACCCCCTCTGCGCCACACCCTCTTAACACTATTCCCAGGAGCTGGGGAAAGGGATGCTTTGGCCCAGTCCCATGGCCCCTGGAGCTGGTGGAAACCTTTCCTCCAACCAGAAAGCCTCGATACCCTTAATTCACCAAGGATCCTTGGCGTGGAGTCTTCCTCCCTTCTCCCAAATCTTTCTCCGTGAACTTTTCCTCCTGGACTTTGCTAAAGCAGAAGCTCCCAGCTCTCTGCTATCTCCGGTCGTCTCTTCCCTGTGTTCATGGCAACATCAGCTGCCAGCACCAGTTCACCCCTCGGGGCGGAGGATCTCCTGAGTGATTCATCAGAACCCCCTGGGCTCGACCAAGTGTCCTCCGAAGTGACTTCCCAGCTCTATGCTTCTTTGCGCCTCAGCCGCCAGGCGGAGGCCACAGCCCGAGCCCAGCTGTATTTACCCTCCACTTCCCCACCTCGTGAGGCGTTAGACGGCTTAGCCCAAGAATTGAGTCGAAGCTTGTCAGTCGGATTGGAAAACAACTTAAAGAAAAAGGTGAGGGAAGTGTGTCTTGGGGACCACTGGAGCACTAGATACCAGAGAGGCTTAGGATTGGGGTTGGTTTAAAAAAAAGAAAAAGCTTTAATGAGATTTGAACTCTTAATGTTGGATTTCTTTTTTTTTTTTTTTGAGACAGAGTCTCACTCTGTCGCCCAGGCTGGAGTGCAGTGGTGTGATCTAGGCTCACTGCAATCTCTGTCTCCCGAGTTCAAGTGATTCTCCTGCCTCAGCCTCTTGAGCAGATGGGACTAAAGGTGCGAGCCCCCATGCCCGGCTAATTTGTGTATTTTTAGTAGAGATGATGTTTCACCATATTGATCAGGCTGGTCTCGAACTCCAGACCTTGTGATCTGCCTGCCTTGGCCCCCCAAAGTGCTGGGATTACAAGCATGAGCCACCGCCCTCAGCCCCTTCATATTCCTTTTAACTATATAGGCAGTCATGCTAATGAGGGAGGGAGTGACCTGGGACACCATAATTTGAAAATTATGAAACTTCCTAGTGTCTTTTGTGAGAGACATCTCTGCTCCAAGTAGATAGAGCAAACCTATGGGGTAGGTTGGTGAGCTATTCTCTGTGCACTGGGAATGGGTAAGGTTCCTTTTTTTTTTTTTTTTTT